TTACATGCTATGGGCAAACCTTCTTGAGAGTCTGAATCTGCGAGGTCTCTTGCACGATGGCTCCTCCGGTGTCTTGACGAACTCCTGAGAAAAAACTTACAGTAAACACGTAGTGGGTTGAAATTTTGAAAAAGATGTATAACTGCAACTGTGTCAGCTTGAAGGGGAAAAATAATGAGTTCGTGTCAATAAAAATAATTCTTGTTCCAGATCGCAAGAAATAGAAAAAGTGTATCTCAAGACATTACATACCTGTGTTTTCCGTGGCGGCAGCTTCGATGAGAAACCAAAGTGCCGTCGTAGAGTGACGGAACTGATCGCGAATGCTGGAAAAATTTATATCACATAGTAGATAACGTATTCAGAAGCAGTATAAGTTAACAATTTAGAGCAACAGTTTTGGTAGCAATCAATTCGGCCTCACCTGAAGTGGAGCGGTGGTCGCATGGACTTCTCTGCTTGGAGAAATAGGCTCACTAACTGCTTCGCCACGCTCTGAAAGTAAAGCTAAAAACAAAACTTGTGCACGTTTTCCATTGGCATTCTAAACTGACCTATTCGCTGTTGATCTTTTACCCAGTGCGCGACAGGATCTTCTCTCTCCACAACCACCGCTTTCGGCTCTCGTTCATATGCTATCTGGATAGCTCAATTTGAATTTTTTCTTTGCACTCACTTTTTCAGCCGAGTCAAGCGCAAATGATGGCGCTCTTTTGAAAACTTAGCTACTGTATGTAATGAGAATTATCTACATAACACACACTTGACTGCACTTTTAGATGATACCTAGATTAAGATATCGGAGCCACAATATGATTCAGTGATTCAGTATTTTGCTCGTTCTATGGCCCACAAATTTCTTCCAAAGAAAGCTATCGCTTCGCCTTTCTCGTTTCTGTAAGCGTAAGGGTAGGGCATCCTGCGTTTTTGCAAAAACACTCAAGTATTCAGATAAAGGAAATCGGAGATGGTGAGCTAGCTCTCCTTTTGTTACAGTGAATTCAGAATTCTGAGCCAAGAAGGTTCTTGCTGTTAAACCATCGAGAATCCATTTTAACTACCCACGCATACAGCTGTAGGGAAAAAACCGACATTCAAGTAGCATGTTTGAGGGATGTATATTTCTTACGAATTTCAGGAATGTTTTTGGGGAGAATGAGATCAAAAACTTAGGGCGCAGAGCGAGGTTGTGATAGAAATGAAATGATAAATGAAATCCTGCAGGAAATTATCGCGGATATGCAAAAGTGAACCTATGCTAATTAAAGACTGTGTTTCAGCTAGCTTCGTTTTTTCTTCCCTCAACACGGATTCCATCTCTACTTTTTACAAAACAAGAGAAAAGTGAGAAATGCACATAATGCTATCTTGCAAAATTTGGCATGGTTCATTTGATTTACCATATACACATTTTTGAAATAGCATAGGTCAACTCGCAAAATGTAGATATTTTACATGATGCATTTACGAATACAGCTGTAGGCTTGAAAGCATTTTCAGCAAAAAAAAAATTAGCATGCCTCTCGATCATCAACCGGATAAGGAGGAACTGGTGTATGTCGACGTGGAGGCATTGGTAGCGGAGTCTGAGGAATTTCACTGGTTGTATACGGTGGATATGTTGTACGCATAGCTGAATTGAGCACTTTCAGTAATAGAAGTAATCTTGAAACAAGAGGATGGTGCAACGGACAGGAGTGAGAAGCAATGACTGATGTGTTCTCTAAATAAAAATCTAAGCATGGTAAGATTTTTCACGCCTTTTCAATAGGATAAGGCAAAATTACAAACTCGAAGTGCAGCATACGTGTATTTCGGCAAAAAAAGCACACAAGGAAAGTGTTAGTATAGAAAGGAAGCTTACGAGTTGTATGGTGAGGATAAGAATTTTTCATAATCTTTTCTGGAGTCGCTCGACGAATGTCATATGCTAAATGGATCAAAACTCACCTTAAAAGCACCAAAAATTGTTCAGAAAAATTAGAAACTCACGATAATCATCAAATTCCTTCCTTGTGTAACCATTCCGGTTGACCTTATACCTCACTTGTGGACTTTTTCCTTCATATTCATCTGTCGTAGCAGCCAGTCGCCTCATAAACATATACACCACAACCACACAGTATACCTAGAAATATTTATATTTCAAAAATATAAAAGCATTCATTCGAAAAAAAAAACCACTTACATTAATGAACACGGCAATGATCTCCAAAATAGTGAGTGCCATCCAATAATCGCGCACATCTCCTGCCCACCACATTATACAGTAAGCCAAAGAGCATAGAATAGACGATATTATGCATATGAACCATGGCCAGATCAAGTGACGAGACCACTAAAAAATGACTTTTGAGATGAATTAATCTTAAAATACAACCCGATGGCTTCTGTC